TAAATTTTTGAATTTTTTGCACCCTTTCATATAGCTAAGTAAAATTTGGCCCCTGGGTTACAAAACAAAACCTCAGACTCATTTTTAGCTGTCGTAAAACCTGCAATGTCCTTAATGTGAAGAACTAACTTGTTAATCTTAGCATCAAAAAAGGGTATTTTGAAATTAACCTTATAATTGGCATTAAAATTTTGAGAAATATACCAGACACTGTACTATCCACCATTCATCTAGAAATGAATAAATGCTGCCTCTATGGAATTATCAATCCATGCAATTATTTTTAAATTCTATAACTAGCGTAAACCCGTATTACAGTAGAGAAACAGATAAATTTTGGTTACCGCGTGTTCGAAGAAAGGACTTCACAGCACGAGTTTGGGAATAGTGCCGATGCAACATCCTTTGTAAAGCAGCTAAATAGCAGCGGTAAAGATTTTAAGTGAATTGAAAGAGGCATTCAAAAGAATCATATGGAAACTAATATTCAACTTCCTCATAAAAAAAACAGAAAATTGGGATATACACAGCCAAAATTTTTTTCAGTCCTTGCACTAACATCGTATATGAAGCTAAAACCGGAAGAGGCTTTCTCTTGTTATCTCACAGAGACCAATATCCTAGAAAACACGAACACATTTCTTTTACAAGATAAAGAAAATTTGGGAAAATCAAACGCAGTAAGTAAAATAAGTTAGAAAAAAATTAAGTTTTATTAAAGTTCGGATACATAATATGCAAAAGTTTACAAGGGTTTTCTGCTGTACAAAGATGTCATAGGCACAAAAACGTACACTAAATAGACTTAATCTATGAAAAATTTAAATTTAGTCAAACGCAGTGACTTTTTTCCCTGATCGGAAGAAACTACCCAGTTATTTAACAGAAACCAGTTTGATTTTTTAAAACTGAAAATGAAAGAGATGCTTCCTTTGAGGAAAACACATCAGCACTAAAAATTTTGAGATGTCCAGAAGATGCATTCCCCCGTAATTGCACAGAATACAAGAAAATTGGCACCCAAAAAAAAAAAAAATCCGTTTTACACCATGCATCTGCCATTAATTATTGATGCTTTTCATGACTGTTTTATCTTAATCAGGAGAAAACGGTAAACCTGTAGAGGTCAAAAAGAACCTGTGCAGTGGGTGGCATTCAAGTTTGATCCAAGGAAGGGGAGGCGAAGTCCAGTTTCCTTAATCAACAACCCCTAACTAGCATTATGAGACCCCATTCAGGGAACACAATCCAGTTATATTTTGCAAGCTGTTACTATACATTTTGCAAATTAAACGTGGCAAAGTGGCCCATGTACATTTCATTAATAACACCAACCTTCTTCCAAGAGGGATAAATCGCTGATGAAAATCTGACGCAAATCAGAAGCAGTTCTCTAAATTATTAATATTACAGTCATAACTTAGCGATAAACTATAGCTCTATAAAGATATTTCTTGGAAAAAAAAATTGGGAAACGGCCCATTTAAAAATGGGTACCTGTACTGGTTAAGCTTTCTAGGAACATTTATCTGGTAACAGTAGATCAGACAAGTTCTGAAGTCATTAACGAACTCCTTGGTGGAAGCTGAATGACTCGAAAACACTATAATTCACAACACTACGGCTCTTGCATCAAGTCCTGCAGTATTTAAGCATTCAACAAACTAGCGAAATTTTACGATGAAATAAAAACGCGAGTTTTCAGTCTTTCTCAATATTTTGTATTCGTAATCTATTGGAAATATTCTACAATCCTCTAGGAAATAATCTTGATTTGGTATTTTCTGAATAATTTAATAAAATAGTTCTGTAAAATTGGCAAACTAGCATGTGCCAAGTCCACACTGACTGTAAGGATGCTTCGAATTAAGATACACCAATGCTTGAGTGCTAAAAGTCTACCAGAAGAGGCGTTCTCTAGTTAATACTTGGAAAATGATTTATTTAACAAAACTGACAATCTTAAATTTACATGGTTCAAAGTGAAAGCCAAACTTTCTTTTAATATAGCTCATTAACATTGAAAGTCCATGGTCTATAGGGTAAGTTATTCCTCAGTAATTACTCTGAATCCAACTATGTTTGTAACAAATTCAATAAAATTTCAATTTTACTCCTAAATAATTTAAATTGATATTGTGTCATCCTTCATACTAAATGCATTAGTGTTGATATTTCAAAGCCGACAAGATAAATCATTCTTTACTTATTAAATGGAAATGCTGAATAACTGTCAGACTGGAACTTATGCAGCCCAATAACAACGCAAATATCTGCAAATATCTGATTCCCTTAATTAAGCACGGTACAAAAGTCAGCCTTAAATCACAAATCATTTTTTCAAGTTCTGGCTGTGGTGCTTGTTGTAACATTATTGCCATAGAGACTTTTGACAATGCACGTGAAACACGAGTGCCCTTCACTGCCTATTGATTTCACT